GGGGCACTTTCCTGTTGGATTGTAATCTTCGTGAGCTTTGAGCTTCCTCTTGCATTCTTTCTGCTTCAGCCACACCGGGGAAGAGTGGTGGACCCTCTAAAGTTTTGAATCTGTATGTTTCTACAGTGAAAAATAAAATCCAAATACATCAACCTAGATTGTGGATTAATTACTTTTTTTTAAAAACTCTAAAATTCACTACTCAAGAATATTCATATAAGACGTGTAGGAATTATGGTAAGGTATGCGAAGGAAATAAAACTAATTGGTAAATTCTACAACCTGCAGCTACTGTCAGCACTTTAATATTTAGTGTTTGTATTAGACCTTTATCTCCAGCTCTATCTTCTTATGTAAGTTTTTTTTTTTTTTTTTTTTTTTAAACATTTACTTTTCCTACAAGAATAGGAACATCCTGAACAGGAAAGAGTTCTGAGTACTGACATCTGTGAGGCGGAGCAGTTGCATACACCCCAAATCTGTGTGCTTTCATTTGTGGGCATCTGGACCAGTGTTCTCCCCTTCATGCTCTAGGAGTGTAGGGTGTGATATCTATTAGCTAATTACTTTGGAGAAATGTTGTCAGGGGATCAGAGTGTTGCTTCATCCAAACATTCACTTTTTAGTTGACAGCGAGAAGTGTGTATGTGTGTGTTGAGATGACATAGCTTATCTTTTCTATGACTCCAGGAAAAGTTAATGAACACTTTTCAAGTTTGGTGTCACCACAGAATCATTTCTCGACCTGTTAGCAATATAGGCTGTCCTTGTTCACTGTGCGACTTTCAGTAAATCCTTTACTTTCTCCATTTCAGATTCTGAAGGTGTTTTATCAAGAGGTAATGGTGGTCCCCTTCCTCTCATTAACACATTACAGGAGTTGTAAAGGATGATGAATTCTGCATACGTGATTGGTTGTGGAAAGACTGCCACAATGTTGAGTGAAAAAAATAGTATGTCTGCCGCACAGATGAACTCCTAGACTCTAATCTGTGTGTGCCAGGCAGGGTGTCTGTATGACTGTTATTTCTGCTTGTGAGAGCTTCAGAATTATTGGAGCCCCCTGAAAATTTTTTGAATAGTCCAGAGGTGGCATTAAGGGTCTTATGCAAAAACAAATCCACAGAGCTATACCCCAAGTTTAACTCAGAATAGCTCGCTTGCTCTGCAGAACAGAATGCACTGTGAAATTTCTTACATTTGGGTAGTGGGATTGGGTGGTTTTTACTATTTTCTTTATATTTTTCCTATCATGAATTTTCTATAGGCTTACAGAAAACATTTTTACTAAAACAAATAACCAATATATCTATTTTCATTTTGGAGACAAAACATTGACTGCCCAGAAGCAAAAACTCAAACTGCCAAGAACTATGTCCCTATGGAAGACCGTGCTGCTGGGAGCTGGCCACCTCTCCTCGGTCATACCTCAAAGAAGATGCCTTTGTTTTATGTGCAGTAGACACAGCTCTTCTGGACAGGTGCATTAGGCTGAGACTCTGACTGCAGTCGGCTCTGGAGCAAGACGCAGAGAGCCAATGAGTAGAGTTGAACTTGGCTTCTAGTTTTGTTTGTTCGGTGTTTTCTTTAAGAATGCTTTTAGAAAAGAGTGGTTAAAGAAATCTCTCCTTTTGGGCGTGCCCCTGGGCCTTCTCCCACAGACCACAGGGCTCAGTCTCCTGCACATCAGCATGGAAGATGCTAGAGGCCTTGGCATTACAATCTGGGGATCATGGTCCTCTAAAGAGAGGGAGTTCTTGTGTGTAAGCCTCATGTGCATTCCTGGGATTTTCCCCCTTCAAGGGGCTCTGCCTGTCCTATAGGTAAGGTGGGGGGCCCCTCTTTCTCCATACCCACCCAGTCTTTGGGCATAGAAATATTTTACCCACACTGCCCCTGGCCAGCTGGAGCTGCACGTGGACTGTGGGCTGGCTCTGGCTCTGCTTTTACTCCCCAGGTTTGCTGCTTTTGACAGCATTCCATTCCTGCATTTCTTTCTACCAATGCAGTTCCTGAAGTTGAGGCTATTCCTTTAACAGGTAGAAGAGCAGAGTGAGACCGGAGAGAGGAGACTTAAAGGTGATGTCCACTGTTACTGCAAGCCTCTTGGAGCTGTTCCAGGGCCCGCAAACACATCTGACTGAGGCAGAACTTTGGCATTTTCTGAGGAAAAGAGAGCCCAGGGGTGGGTAGCAAGCAGCTATTCAGCTTCTTCCGGGGCTTGGCGCAGCTGAGACCCTGGTCCACGTGGGCCCGGGCTGCTCGCTGCCTTTTGCCTCGTTAGAAGGACTCTCCAGACCTGACCTGAACTGGCTGAGGTTGTAGGAACTGCTTCACTGTCGGGTATTTCAGTAAGGCTACACATCTTCAGGCCCATTATTCTTAATTAGAATATTTACTTGTATCGAAGATCTATATTGAAGCCTTTTTGCAACCTGGCCATCACCGATCAGTAATCTACAGTTGCTTATGAAAGGTCCACCCTGGGCCCTCTGCAGAGCTGGATGCGGGGCAGAAAAGAATCATGTAAGATGAACTTTGCCCTCAAGGAGTTTCCGCACTGAAAGCAATTAGAGAACATTCTCTTCCAGACCAGAGGTGTCTGAAGGGGGATTTTCTTCCTGAGGGTGGTAGTATTTACTTTCACATGGGTCACCCCCTGAGGTGGCTGGGGTTACCTCTGGGGAACATGCTCTGATACTCAAAATGGATTGGATGGCCATTTGGGAGGAGGGAGGTGGTGGCAAGGATGTAATCTCATCTTTCATTACTTCACTTGTCTCCCCTTGACACTGCTTCTCTAAGCACCTGAGCGTTAGGGGAAGGTAGCCACCCTGTCCACAAAATACGAACTTCAGTGCCTGTCATGCCACCATTATAGCTCCATTCCTCTGAGTCTGAGTCTGTTGCATTTTCACTTAGTGTCCACTTTTAAAATATTTACACCCCCAGGAGAGGTCAGACTCTTAGTAGTTCATCACCAAACTGTAGCTTTTAATTATCAAGAATTAATTAAGTCAACTGAGAGAAAGACTGGGACCCAGACAGGCACTTGGGGGCAAGAGTGTCCAAAGGGACACACTTCTGCAGAGTGGGAGGGAAGTGAGGGGAGCTGCAGGCGGATGCTGCTGAGCCCCCCTCATTGCCGACTTGGGGGCCACGCTGGTTGGGGCATAGGGGACAATATGGCTTGGCACTGGTACAGAGGGCTTTGAGGCAGAGGGGGAATTTGAGTTGAGTCTTAAACGGTTGGGACAATTGCTTTTTCCTTCATTTAAGACTATATGCTCAGTTTAGAAACTTTTGGAACATTCAAGTAGAAAACAAATCCCTCATAACTTCATGGGTCCCCAGCCCCCGGGGTTTGGACCTCTTAAGTCCTCACAGGTCTGTGGCCTCTGAAAAACTGGGAGACACAGCAAGAGGCAAGCGGCGGGCAAGCACGCGAAGCTTCATCTGTGTCTGCAGCCACTCCCCAGTGCTAGCATCACCACCTCAGATCCACCTAAGGTCATCAGGCATTAGATCTTCACGGGACCACCGGTCCCTGAGGCCCAAAAGGTTGGGGATTGCTATCCTAGATTACGGAGATTCTCAGAAGCCTGGCCCGAGTCAAGGGTTGGAGCTGGTGTAGGCTGTAGGGGACTCTTTTAGGTTTGTGAGCAGAGTAAGAGACCTGATGCAAGTTGTATTTGGGGAAGATCGGTCTTAATATGACCGTGGGGAGAGACTGGAGGTGGTGAGTAACAAGGACATGGACGACAGCGTAAAGTGGGACAGAAGACATCAGCGAGACTTGGTTGTGGCGGGATGCTCCCCAACTGCTGTGTGGTGGCCGTGACCAAGGTTTCCAGTCTCCTGGCCTGGTAGAGTTTAAAGTTTTGTCAGTGGCTTCCAGTAAGTTTTGGAAGCAGGTGGGGTGTAAGTGAGAGGAAGGGAGGAAAGGGTTCTCCTCAGGTTCGTGGGTCAGGGGTGAGTGTGTGGTCAGACCCCGCACTGGGCCTGCATGTCGCAGACTGTGATCCAGGCTGGGAGCCCGTCTGTTCTTTCTGTTCTGTCCGAGAGTAGCTGTCACTGCTCCTAGGCTTTCTTCCAAACCCACACACACACACCAGGGTGATGTCTGAAATCCATGTTCTTGATCACCTTTCAACCCAATTTTCTGTCTCCAAAGTTTTAACTGTTTCTCAGAACAGATTGTCTTTGACTCACAAACTCATTTGGATTGGATTAATTGACTGGGAATACTTATTTCTAAAAGGTTTCTCTTTCATCAGGCTTTTAGCCTGTTTTTAAAAAGACTTTTGCCAAGACGAGATTAGTAGAGAAGTGATTTTTGTATAATCAGTCTCTATGATCTTTTGGTACAAGTTATGTTTTGAGATTGGTGTTCCTGATGTGTTCATTTCTAGAATAAATATCCGAATGCCTGCTATGTGCGGGGTACTATTCTAGGCGTTGGGAATATAACAGTGAACAAAATAAACAAAATATTACCTTCGTGGAGCTCCTATTCCAGTGTGTGTGAGCTTGTAGACAATAAACAAGTAAAATATAAAGCATGAAAGATGGCAAAAAAAAAAAAAATAGTATGGAGAAGAAACAAAGCAGGGATGGAGGACAGGGAGGTTTGATGGGGAGAGAAGTCGGAGAAATCTCACTGCTAAAAAGACATTTGAGCAGAGATCCAAGGGAGGAGACGTCAAAGTGGAGAGAAAAGCAAGAGAAAAGGTCCTGGAGACCAGAGAATGCTTGAGCAATTAATTTACGGAACAGCAAGGAAGTCAGTGTGGCTGGGGTGGGAGTGAGGAGGGGGAAAGTGGGCAGAGGAGGCCCTGGCGTCCCAACTAGGCTTGAAGTCCTGGTGGGTTCCTGAGTGACATGGGAGCCTGTGGGGCTGTGCAGAGCACAGTGGGCTCCACCTCTTTTGGGACAGTTGCCCTGGCTGCTGGGGATGGCAGCAGGGGCTTGTGCAGCGGTTCTCAGCCATAGTGGACATCAGAGTCTGAGTCATCTGAGAGCCTCTCCCAGGACAGCTGCTTGGGCCACCCAGGACTCCAGGGTCAGCTGGAGCACAGGTGTGACTTCTCGAACTCACTTAATGCGCTTGTTTGCTAGTGACTGGCTAACTGTCACAGCTTCAGATTCTTGGGGCCCACTCCACTCTTGAGTCAGTTTCCAGGTGGGCCCACAAGTCTGCATTGTTAAGCTTTTTGGGTGATTTTTGAGGCCAGTGGTCCCTGGTTTAAAGACTGGTTTTCAACCCCGGATAGCATCAGTGACCCAGCTGTTTGTTTGTTTGTTTTAACATCTGACCCCTGAAAATTCCTATTTAATTGGTCCGAGTTGGAGTTAGGCACTAGTATTGCTCCCCAGATGTTTCTGATGTGCATGTAGGGCTAGAAGCACTGGTCGGACAGTTCAGTAAGCCCTATGCCTGGTATTCGATGGAGAGGTTTGAATGGGTAACTGTGAGTAGGAGACTTAGCCCCCCGGGAAGGCTGAGGCAGGGCCCATCCCCTTGCCAGGAATAGCAGGAGTCTGTCGCAGCAGTGGAAACTCTTTTCAGTTTATGTACTTTATCTCGTTTCATTACCTCACCTCTCTGGGCCTTCACTTCCTTGCCGTAGAGTCAGTGGCTTAAATTTAATGGTTTCCTAGGGTCTCTTTGAGTCTGACAGTTCTTAATCTTTCTGGTGCTGGAAGAACCTCTAATCTAGAACAGTGTTCTAGGACACCGTTTTCCAGTCCTAAGGTGTGTCATCATTACGGCAAAGGCTGGACCCACTGTCTCAGTACCAAAATGAAGGAAAATGTGGGTCACATACAGTAACACCTTGGGAAGATGAGGGTTTTGGGAAATCGAAGATGTGAAATCTGACCTCCCAGTTCAGAGTCCTGAGTGGAAGGGCTGCTCGACCCTTGGAGGCAGGTGGGAGCCTGAGTGCTGCTGCCCGCTGGCAAGTTCATTGTCAAGTGCGGATAGTGTTTTATAAACTGTAAAGCTCCTGCGAATCCGAGCGAGCATATGTGGTAGGGTAACCTGGCAGAAGTGGTCAGCCTGGGTCAGGGTCAGTGAAGCCTGGTGCTCAGATGAGCCAGCCCCTCTCTGTAGCCAAACTGTGTAACTGGGTAGGAGAGACAGTCTGAATAACCCAGCAGAATCCAGTGGCTGCAGGAACCGAGGTTAAGTTGGAATAAATCACTGGGCACGCTCATTAGAGGGGCTCAGAGGTAACTCAGGACATCGGATCTGAGACACCCTTACCCCTACCTGGTCTCTGACTTCTGTCATTGTTTGGACACACAGTGTCTGCTTGTTAGTTTATATTTTGAAATGTGAAGGTCCAAATAAGAAAAGAAAAAACTTTGGGGAAAAAAACCTTTCTCTATTTCTGTTCTGTAGAATTGGGATAATGAATTTTCTTCATTCACTTCTAGGTTTTTCCATTAATATTGTCTGTACCTCTATTTAGAATTCAAACTAAATGCTAGTCTGTCAGAGTTAAGACAAAAATGAAGTTAAGTGAGGGGATACAGGATTAGAGTGAGAGTGAGCAGAATTAGAAATGAGGCTTTTTATTCTGTCATTTGTGGGTACATGTACCTGATGGACCATTAACCAGTTTCCCCACAATGGCCAATTAAATCGGAATCTCAGGGCTGGTGGCCAAGCTCTAGTAGTTTCTAAAGGGCCTGAGGAGATTCCGATGTTCAGGTACAGTTGAAGACCACCTGGTTTTAAAAATGGGTTCTTCTCGCTTTTCCTTGGTGGTGTTCTCCTTCCCTGCTCGGTGCTGTTTCTTCTCTGCCTCTCCCCACCTGTGACTTTTCCCTGCGTACTTGCCCTCGTGTCCACTCCTTGACCTTGTACTTCCTCTGCTTCAGCAGGCCTCTGAGCACTGGAGGGTGAGCTGTGTGAAGGGGTCATAGACCCTTACTTTGTCCCTGTCCCCTGTGCATGCTCTGAATCAGCCTGATGCTTAGGGATTTAGCAGTTTGCAGGTGCACTCTGAAAATTTTTAGGTAAAGCTCACTGGCCACTGAAGTTGGTGGCATAATACTTAACAAATGTGTTTGCTATGTTTAAGACAGTGTTGTAAGAGCTTTACAAATATTGACTCATTTAATCCCTATAATATCCATTATACATACGAGGACACAGGTGAAGAAACCTGCCTGAGGTTACATGGCTAGAAAGTAGTAGAACTGGGATTTGAACTGAGGGGTCCAGTCCGCACTCTGAAGCACCACACTGTGATGGGGGAAGGAGGGAATGTCTGGGGCTGGGACAGGCTTTGTCTTTGACTACATTTGGGACCTGTGTTGAATTTATATTGGAGGCTTTTTTCAGAGTCTGACTTATACTATTATTATTACTATTATTATTTTATCTTACTTTAACATTTACCTTCAGGCCTATTAAGAAACATTTTTTTTTTTCTTTCCTTAGGTGGTATTTGGACACTAGATCATGTGCCTAGGTAGCAGTTACTCCTTTCTCCACAGCTCTGCGCCCCTGGCAACACTCCCCACGCCCTGGTATTGAGATCCTCGCTGGACGATGTCTAGGCTGACCTGAGCTGGCCTTGAAGAGCCGAGAATTTGGACGCAAGTGATTTTTTTGTTTTGTTCTTGTTCTTTGGTAGTTATTATTATTTTTTTGATTGTGGTAACATATGTAACAGAATTGACCTCTTTAAGCACTTTTCGGTGTGGAGTTCGGTGGCATTAATACATTCGCATTCTCGTGCCCCATCACCACCATCCACCTCCGTAACCTGTTCATCTTCCCAAACTGAAACTCTGTGCCCCTTAAACACGAACTCCCGTTGCCCTCCACCCGCCCCCTGGTTGCCTTCATTCTATTTTCCGTTTCAATGAATTTGACCACCGTAGGTACCTCCTATAAGTGGAATCATGCAGGATTTGTTTTTTGTTTCTGTTTTTGTTTTGTATCTAGCTTATTTCACTGAGCATACTGTCCTCCAGGTTCATGCACATTGTGGCCTCTGTCAGAACTTCCTCTTTAAGGTTGAATAATATTCCATTGTATAGTTATAGCACACCATGTTTACCCATTCATTTGTTGATAGACACAGGTTGCTTCCACCTTTTGACTATTGTGAATAATGCTGCTGTGAATACGGTCTGCAAATACCTCGGAGATCCTGTTCTTTTAGATCTATACCTAGAAGTGCAATTGCTAGATCATATGGTAATTTTATTTATTTATTTATTTTTGAGGAACAATCATACTGTTTTCCATAGTGTCTGTACCATTTAACATTCCCACCAGCAATGAATGGGGATTCCAATTTTTCCACATCCTCACTAACACTTGTTATTTTCTGTTTTTTGTTTGTTTGTTTGTTTTTAATTTTTTGGATAATAACATTCTAATGGGCATGACCTTGCGATTATTGAGTTGGACCCACAGAGTCTGCTAAACAAGGGTGTGGTGCCCATTGTGCTGAAATGCACAAATGTAGAGAAAATAATATGATAAACCTCCATGTACCCCTGATCCAGATCAACAGTTACCAATCCATGGCCAGTCCTGTTTCATTTACATACTCCCTCGCTGCTCTCTTCTCCGTGGCCTGTATAATTTTGAGGCAAATCCCAGACATACAGCATTTTATCTGTAAACATTTTACCACGTGTCTTAAAAACATAAAGGCTTTTAATATTTCATTTTGTCTGATGGTAGAAGGGCACATAGGGCTGTTCTTTGGACATATTATTCCCTATCATTCCCTTGGGTCACCGAGGACATAATAGTGGGCATACGTGTGGACACCCAGATGTCGCATCCATCCCCTTTCTGGACTGTTGGCGAAAGGCTGCCTTGGCTGGGGCCCTGTTTCCTTGTGGAAGGCTGACTGCCCTTAGGTCTGAGCAGCCATCATGAAAGAGCACACCCACATCGCTGTTGAGAGGGGAGAGAGAGAAGAGGGAGGAAGAGGAGAATGAGGAAGAGCATGGAGAGAGATGGGGAGGGAGGGGCATGGACTAAGGGATGGGGCTCAGGGATGGATGGGAAGGAGAAGAGCGTGCGTGTCTGTGTATGTGTGTCTGAGAGAGAGAGAAAGAGAAGCGAGAGACTACACCTGGGAGAGAAACTCTTTGCCGGGCCCTTATCCACCAGTCCCGAAACTCCTGTAGTCATCTAAGGGAACCACAGAGAGACCCCAAGACTAACAGCATGTTCCTTGTGTCCCCTCAAACCTTTTGCTCTTGGAATCTTAGGGAATGGAGTTTGCCTGTGCTGCATGAGACTAATGGCACACTCTGGGCCACCAAACACATGGACGCCAGAGGTGGGGAAGGAATGATCCAGTGAAACGGTCACTTACTTTTTTCTGGGGCCCTTTGGTCAGGGAGTGGAGGCTTGGCTCCAGAAGGTCTGAGGCT